GTGGAGGCAATCGAGGGGAGTGGTGTGGGCAGTGGGAGTGGTGAGGCGATCTTTGGTGGGAAGGAGGTGTGGGTCTAAGGTGGTTTGAATAGGTAGGTGATGTTTTATGGAAGGTTCCGTGCCTTAAAAGATTACGTGACTCCAATCGACGAGGCACAGAATGCCAAAGCAGGAAATGAAAGGAATGCAGTGACAGTGAGTGCAATCAGTCTCCAACGAGGACAGCACTGAAACCAATCCTAACAGCTCTCCCCATTGTTTCGCAGCGTGCCTGACGCATTTCGGTTGGAGTGCGTAGCACTTGACAAGAGACAGGCAGGTGGAGGAGGAAGAAGAAGGAGGTCCGCTGTTGAGCGACACTCTTCTCATCTCAACCTCCAATTCCCACCACACCCAACTGACACTTACTCTCCTCCCTTCGCTAACGCATGCAGGAAGTCGTGATGCCTAGGTGACAGCCCCACTCCATCCCACCTTCGCACTGCTCGTCTGCCCACACTTCCCCTTATGACTCAGCACAGGTGTGCAACAGAACAGTCGCCTCACTACCACCACCACCACACACAAGGACTAGCTCTCGTGTCAACATGGTCCTCTCTTCTGACAATCGAGTCAATCAACACCGAATCGCTAGGTCGTCGGACCACTCAGACAACAGATTCTTGCATTCTCCTCCAAATCACATCCTGGCACAGCCACTCGAATATGTCTCTGCTGCCTGTATGATAGTCATCACCATTTATTACATGCCAAATTCGCCAATTCATTGGTGCAGTAGTCAGAGGCGCCTCGGTGCCGAAGCCGAGTTTCTTTGCGTACTCCACGTAGAGATTCATGCCGCTTCTCTCCCTCCCCTCCACATCGTCCACAATCGCAATTGCAAGTGTATGTTGAGGCGTCAAGAGGCGCAGTAAGGCTCCCAACTCCCTTCTAGCATTGTCTTGACGTTGCAAAAACATTGAAAGCCTCTGTGCGTAGAGAACGCAGTCAAATAGACGAAGCTTTCCTCTTTGAAGCTCAGCGATTTTCTCATGATGATTTTGCACTTCTGAACTAGTTAGTCGATAATCAGGCAAATTCAATTGAATCCAAATAGGAATGACACACTGTGTCTGACCATGTGAAGATAAAGGGAATTGAAGGTTAACAATTGCAAAAACGTCATTGCCAGATGCATAGGGAAAGGGTACGACACCAGAGTATGTAAAATCGTCTGATTGGTATGTCATGTAGGCTACGTACAAAAAGCAGTTGACGTTTTTGTATGCGCTAGTAGGAACTCGGATTTGTGGAAACTGGAGGTCAAATTGCATTTGATAGAAGTGTCGCTC